GGAGGTGTACTCTGCACTGGGAGAGACCCAGAGGCAGAGAGTCTACTCAGCCACCCAGAACCAGTGAGAAGCAGCCTCCATTGGTGAAAGACAAGTACTTGTGTCCAGCCTACCGCGCAGATCAAAAACACCCCCCTCAGGGAAAAACCTCTTTCCCATTTACCTCCCCACTCGCTGCTCTGCACTGGGTCCAAGCCCGGCTTCAGCAATTGCTGAGTCCCCTGGGCCGGAAGTAGGATCCGTCACATGCCCTGAGCCATTCTCCCAGCCTTAGAGAGTGAACAAATTAACAAACGGGGGGAAAAAAAACCTGCCTGCTCCCCTAAGCCAGGAACTCAGGGTAGGCACAGCTCCTTTGCCTAGGCACAGGCATAAGGGATCCACGGACTTTGAGTGCCTTTCCCCCCGCATTGACTTGTGTGGGCCCATTTCAACAGCGTAGGCCCTCATTACTGCAGTACAACAGGGTATATACCTGAAGTCCAATTTCATCTGTTTCAGCTGTGAAGTGACAGGTTCGTGACATTTGACACTGCTCTGCCCATTAAGCAGGGTCTTCATCTATCCACATCAGGGGCCTCAGGACTGGTGGCTCCACCCACGCCACCTAGCCACCTGCAATAGGGGCCCAAGAATAAGAAGTGCCCCCCAGTCCTTATAGCCAACAGCACTGGATGCTCATAGTCTGGCTGCAAAACCCGCCCACTTCCACGCTCTAGGGAACAGGGACACATCTTCCTGGACACTTGGGGGCAGCCATCAACCCCCTGCCTTGCTCAGAGTGTGTCCCTCTGCTGCAGCCAGAAGCCTGTGCCTACACCAATCACCCATGCCTGTCTAGGACTGTTAGGTGACAGCCTGCACCACACACTTGGTGGCTATCTACCCGGGCACCTAAGCTGAATCCATAGAGGAGGAGTAGGTGGACTCCTGAGTTTACATACCTAGTAACAGATCTAACCACCTGGTGACAGGATATTAGAGCTTCAAAGGTGCCAATAATAAAACTAACTCACAGGAACAGCCTATTTGGGCATATCAAAACAAAACAAGAAGCTAGGACACAGTAAGCAAACATAAAATAAATAAATATAATAGCTTATTGATGGCTTGGAGACAATAGTCAATATCAAATCACATAAAGAGGCAGTCCATGACGGCTTCAGCAAGCTCCCAAAATAAATAATCTAGAAATTTTCCAGAGGAGGAAAATTTCTTGGAATTACTGGAGGCAGAATACAAAAGATTAACATACAGAGCTCTTCAAGAGATTAGGAAGGAAATTAAGCAAAACACAGAACACAGAATAGAGGAAATTAAGATTAGAGAAAAGCATAATGACAAATTTAAAAGGCTGCAAGAATCCATAGAGAGGTAGCAATCAGAAATCCAGAAGATTAACAATAAAATTTCAGAATTAGACAACTCGATAGAAAGTCACAGGAGCAGAATTGAGGCAATGGAAGTCAGAATTAGTGAGACTGAAGATAAAGCACTTGACATCAACATATCTGAGGAAAAATCAGATAAAAATATTTAAAAAAAAATCAACAAACCCTAAGAATTATGTGGGACTCTATCAAAAGGAATAACCTACGAGTGATTGGAGTACCAGAATGCGAGGGGGGGGGGATTAACAGAAAATACAGAGAGAATTGTTGAAGATTTGTTGGCAGAAAACTTCCCTGATATTGTGAAAGATAAGAAGATATCTACCCAAGATGCTCATTGAACCCTACATAAGGTAGATCTCAAAAGAAAGTCATCGAGACATATTATAATCAAGCTTGCCAAAACCAAAGATAAACAGAGACTTTTAAAAGTGGAAACGAAAAGTCATCCACAAAAGAAAGTCAATAAGAATAAGCTCAGACTGCTGAGCAGAAACCATGCAGGCAAGAAGGCAATGGGATGATATATATAAAGCCTGGAAGGAAAAAAATTGCCAGCCAAGAATTATATATCCAGCAAAACTATCTCTTAAATATGATGGCAAAATCAGGGCATTTCCAGATAAACAAAAGTTTAGGGAATTTGCAAAAACCAAACCAAAATTACAAGAAATACTAAAGGGAGTCCTCTGGTTAGAAAATCAATAACATCAGATAACAACCCAAGACT